ACAACTAAATTTATTTCAATGAAAATAAAGACATTAATAAATTTCTTCAATAGAAAATAGTATAATAATAGTTATTTACGTATTAAGGGCATACATAGGGAGATTATGGCACGAGGAAATGTTTAAAACCCGACGAAGGAGGGTACATCCAACGTTTTATTCTATTTTAGTTTCTAAAATATTTTTAACGAAATATCTATTGAATATTTCCGGCAAAATTGTGTAAATTGTCCGAAGCGAAGTTTAATAATACCAGAGAACATAGAGAAGCGTCATAGTTTAAATTAAATGACGGTTGAGGATTCCTCGACTTATGTTGGCAACAGTGTTTGTTTCTAACTAGGAATAAAATTAACTACAATAGAAAAAATGTCATAATATTTTTAACGACGCGTTTTACTTTCGACAAATTGATACTAGATTTACCAGAATATGACAAGCTGCTTACTGTTTCCTTCAATTTCATTCAGCTCACACGAATTACAGTTCGTCTTCTGAGAACTTTTGATCTACAGACCAGAGCGCACCCAGGCCAATGTCGACTCTAAGCGTTCGGAAACGATTTGATTTATAAGCCATAATCCGTGATCTGATACACATCCTTACCGATTTCGACCATAATTTCTTGCTGTTTCAACTTTCGACTTTTCAGTTTTTCGAAATTTTAGTTTGGGAACTTTTCAGTTTACTCCTATTTATTATTCAATTTTTGGATTTTACAATTTCTCAATTTTTCAATTTCTCAGTTTTCCGTTTTTCTCTTCAATTTTACGATTTTTCAATATTCCGATTTTTCAATTTTTGACTTTTATAAACTCTTAACTAATTTATTTTGCAAGTTTTTGATTTTTCAATTTTTCGATTTTTTTAAGGTTTCGATATTTCGACTTCACTTTTTTGATTTTTCGATTTCTCAGTTTTTCGATTCTTTAGGTTCTCAGTTTTTGGATATTTCAGTTTTGGGAGTTTTCAGTTTTTCGATTTGTCAGTTTTTCTTTCATTTTTCAGTTTTTCGATATTTCAGTTTTGGGATTTATTTCTGTTCTTCGACTTATCCATTTTTGACTTCTGGATTTTTCGATGCGTCGACTTTTTACTTTTTCGATTTTTAAATTTTATATTTCTCAATATTTTGGTATTTTAATTTTTCAATATTTAAAATTTTAGATTTTTCGATTTCTCGATTTTTCATTTCAACTCTTCCATATTTCAATTTTTCAAATGTTTTGATTTCTTAATCTTTCGATTTTTCAACTTCCCGGGTTTAGATTTTCTGTTTTTCAGTTGTTGTTTTGTCAAATTTTCGATTTTTTAATTTTTCAAATTTGACTTTCATAAACTCTCAATTTTTCGATTTTTCAATTAATCGATGTTTTGATTTTCCCATTTCTCAATTCATTCAATTTTTCGATTTTTTAAGGTTTCTATTTTTCGACTTCACTTTTTTTATTTTTCGATTTTTCAGAGTTTAGATATTTCAATTTTAGGATTTTACAATATTTCAATTCTTCGGCTTTTCTATTTTTGACTTCTGGATTTTTCGATGTGTCTACCTTTTTACTTTTTCGATTTTTCAATTTTTGGATTTTTAAATTTTAGATTTTTCAATTTTTTGATATTTTAATTGTTCAATATTTCTTAATCTTTAGATTTTTCGACTTCCGGGTTTTATATGTTCTGTTTTTCAATTTTTCGATTTATCAATTTTTCATTCCCGATTTATCGAGATTTGGTTGTTCCGGTTTTCGATTTATCACTTTTTCAATTTTTTATTTTGGCCTATTTCGATTTCTCAGTTTTTCCAGTTTTCCAATTTTTCGTTGTTTGATTTTTCCGCTTTTCCAATTTTTCAACTTTTAACTTTTTGTTTGTCGATTTCTCTATTTTTCGATTTTTCGACTTCATCATTTTTCGATTTCTCGTTCTTTTGATCTTTCAATCTCTCAACTTTTCAATTTTTCGAATTTTTAAGTTTTTTGATTTCTCGATTTATCGAGATTTGGATTTTTCTATATTATTTCGGTTTCTCAGTTGTTCGGCTTTTCGACTCCACGATTTCTTGATCTTTTGATTTTTCGATTTCGCGGGTTTTCGATTTTCCAGTTTTTCGATGTTTCGATTTTTCGTTATTCGGTTTTTAAATTTTAGATTTTTGAATTTTAGATTTTTTCGATTTTCTGATGTTTCATTTTTCGATTTTCAGTTCTTCGATATTTCGATTTTTCATTGTTTCGGTTTTACAATTTTTTAAGGTTTCGAGTTCTCGATTATTATAGATTTCTCGATTTTTCGAGTTTTCGATTATTTTGATTTTAATTTTTTTTTTCTCACTGTCAATATCATAGTGTATTGAAAACAACCACAAAAATTGTCACTAAAAACATTTAAAAATTCATACAAAATAGAACACAGTGTTTCCAAAACATTTTCCAGAAAAAAATCCATTGGGTTATTACGATTTCAACAATATTCTTAGTTTAAGATGTTTTGCTAGTATAAAACACAAGTAAAGAATTAATTCTTAGTTAAACAAAATATGTAAAATCATCTAGATATGTACCAAAAATATTCACTTATTAGTCGTTATAAAAACCGACCAAACAACTATTTCCCGCAGAAATTATAGTCCAAACCCACCAACCAAATCGGTCCTGAACGCTTAGGCCCGGTTTTACAATGCAAGCTTAAGCGAGGTTCAAAGATAAGCCTTGGTTCAACTGCAGTTGTCCGTTTTTTTAGAGTCGACATTGGCCTGAGCGCGCTCTGGCGTGTAGATCAAACAAGTTCTCAGGCGACGAGTTGTAGTGAAACAAGTTTTTTTATTGGGGTCGACTATTTAAATTTGGCACTTGTCTTTGGCGGTTGGGGACTCCAGTGTCAATAAGGGTGGTTTTGCAAAATCGGCCTGTATGCTGCATTTATATTAATCTATGTTTAATACAAACTATTTGATGTTGTTATTGATACCACGTTGTTTATTTTTTAAATAGTTCGATTTTCAAAATGCAAACTGAAGCAGCGGAAAACGTTAATTCAAAAAAAATTTTAGAAGAATTTGAAGTCGGCCAGAGAATGATTTGATGAAATATTAATTTATGCCCGCATTTGGGTGCTTCTGAACAAGATTATGAATTTAAAATAGAATAAACTTTTTATAGGGTCGCTGTTTTGCAAAAACTGCCGCAAGCGGCTTATTCTACAAACCTGAACTGGTATTATAATGATGGACTTTATAAAATATATTTTTGTAATATACTGTAATCAACTTTGCTGCAATCTTTTCTTCAGGTTTTCGCAATTTTATTACGTTAGAATTCCCTTTTACTTACTTAATCAACTCTAAAAACAAATCCATCTCCTCGGCAATTAAATTTTAAAATGGGAAATCAGGAAATCAGTAAAATCATAGTCAAATCAAAACAAAACTAAAATTGATGACGAGAAGAGAAAACATAAACCAGAAATGTCACAATGCACAAATGCGTAAAATTAACACTTCGGTGTAAACCTGCAAATTATCTTGGTGTCACTCAGTACTGAAGGTTATAATACGATACTTATTCCTCACTGTGCTTTCTCTTTTGTTTGATTTAACACCATGCAATCACTGTCGATACAAAATTTACAACTATGTATGATGCTAAATTCATGTAAAATTTTTAATAAACATTGACCACTATGCACAAAGGATATTCAAAAAACTTAGCAGTATAATGTCTAACACGGCCCTGCTCTCATTAGTGAAAAATGCACTTAATATGTATTTAAATTCCAATGTCGAAAACTAGTCTTGCATTTTTATCGTTAAACATAAATTATCAATGAAATTTCAAAATAGGTACCCAAATATAAAATTTTACTTTCCGATGATACAGATTCTATGAGAAAAAAACTCCCACTCCTGGCAAAAAACAAGAGAATGTTCCAATAACAACTACTCTTCCTAGCACCTGCTAAAACAACTTCGGCCGCTAACCTTTACAGCCTAATTTGCATGCGTCCCTAATTGTCCTCGATTCCTTGTCATTGATCTTTTTTCGCAGCTTCATTATGAAAAATTTATTCACTCATCACTTTATCTGCCGTTGTATGATTAGCATCAATCAGCAATTATCTCCCAATTCCGATAATCAGTTCGCACGCGATAGCTACACGACCTTGCCCATTCTAATAATAAATGCCATCAAAACCAGTGGCGTGGCTACCGGCATTGACGACATTAGTTAAAATATTCTTTATGGCTCCAAATTTCGAAAAAACTCACACTTGTGCATTTTTGTAAACTATTTAAAAACTGCCTGTAACATTTATGTAATGGTTCAACTTTCTTACAAGAATAAAAAAGGTTTCTAAAGTTGAAGGGGAACACGTACATTTGCCTAATAACCATATTTCTAAGGTTGGACATTTTTGGGCTATCTCTACTACCACTTTTTTTTCTTTTTTGAAAGTGTGGTATTCCACTTGAAAATTTTTATATTAAGATATTCTTGAATTTATCATAATTAAACTCGCCACATGTTTCGGTTCTTGAAAGATATAAAAAAACATCATCAGATAGGTCTAACACAAAATAAAAGTAAAATTTTAATAGAGAATTGGCACGTTACATATGTTCGCAATAACCAAGTGAAAGAAAGAACCTTGAATTTAAGTCGTGTGACACTTGAACTAGAAGTACCTAATGGATCCTTCACACATGAACTTAAGAATATTCCAGAACCAAACTGACCGTATATGTATACGTATAACTGTATTATTCCATAAAAAAGAAATAAAATGTGTTATTTAAACTTATTTACAAATAAATATATCTACATGTCAAACTTTCTGCGTAAATTAAATTTGGCGGGAGATCATATTTACCATATTAATTTGAATTGGCCCATAGATATTAAAGAGAAAGATATCCAAAATGAGCTCGAGAACCGTATTATGGTATTAATGGTGCCTTAGCACCACCAGATGTATCCACGCCACTGATCAAAAAACGGACTTACTTTCATACTGGTAAGTGGAGCACACGTGGTCATAGGGACATTCCTGTTTCTCCACGTTGGAATACCCGTAGACGCACGCCTTATCCGCTTTATCGGCATTCCTCGAAGACCCACTGCATCTATAGCACTGCAACGGATTTCCTGAAGCACAAACCGAATCAAGGCCGCGAAAACACATGCTGGCAGCACTCACCAAAATGAGATAATAAAATCGTCGAGAACAAGAAACCAAGCAGAATCATCGCCCACAGGCAATAAGACTTCGAACAGACTCACTCTCGAAACTTCGGAGCGGTGAAATTTTCCCACAACCATTTGCCAAATTCACTATCAACTGATTGGTATTTTACATAACCTGGAAACCTTTATGGCCTTGTGCAATAACATTTACATATTATTGAAAAAGCAGCTCTATTTACACCGTTACTCCACATAAACTGACCGGTCGGACATCTTCTACAACACAGAAGATGATAAGGTCAGTTATCTAGTTAAAGAAAAATGAAAGTAGTAAACAAACACATGAGTTGCGCAAGAAATTTACGCAACTCTACCAGAAGCAACGCTGCAACTGGAATGGACGCTTTTGGTGCACTGTTGCAGAAATTCTCACGGTATATTCTACAAAATTTCGCTTTTTCGATTGTGTCCCCGCTTGGTTTCACCTCTCACGTGTGAGAGGGCAAGGGTCTTCCGACTAATAACTAACGCATCCGCGGCTCATCCTATAATTATTTGTTTTTCGTTCTTCTTGTAGTTAAAAATGGATTAAAGCTACTGCGATTAAACTGCAAAAGTCCAGAGGCAACATTCTTACATGAAAAAAATTAAGCGCAAGGTAAGAATGACATCTAGAGTTCTTATTTAACTAGAAATATTTAATTATGCGTGGCATTATTAATCCGATCTAACAACAACTAATAATTAGGTGAATCACATCAGTCATATCACATTTAACATCCTGATTCCGTATCTATAATTAATTCTTCTGCGGCACGCAACGTTCTCGGGACGACAGAGCTGATTTAAATAACTTTGTACCAACATAACACTGAATGACCATTTTATGTTCTTCGACATAAAAGTCATAATTCCGGTAAGTGACGTTTTCTTGAAAAATCCTCTGATTAGTCTATTTTATTTTTAAAATGACACTTATTGACGTAAAAATTTATTTTTGCACAGTGAAAACAAATGTTAAAATTTAGGCCATAGTACACGAAAACAAAGCTCGAATTCAGAAATAATTTAGGGAAAGCTGCAGTCTAATTGTCGATAACCCGAAGCCAGAGGTCTTTTTTTAAACCCTGAATTTTCGGCGGAAATTGCCAAAATAGACGTAGACTTAATAAAGAAAATGCACATCATTATGGTAGTAGTGTCCAGCGAATATGATAGTGATACAGAAAATGTTCGACTCTTTTCAGAAAATACGGAATGATATTTCATGGAAAGACATCCCTGGAATAATATGCCACCTACACTCCACAAATACCGAGTGACTATTAATGTTCAAGATTTTTTTTGTCAGGTTGGCAATCTATTTAAAATTTTAAGACAGCTGCCACCATCAACACGTTTCCTAGGCGTACTCATGTCAAAACTGACAACTTTGAACTGACATACTATGGGCGTCAATAATTCAGAATTGCCAACAGAAAAAATTGCTTCAATCCTTAATAGTCATCCGGTATTTTAATATTTATTTTTTCGGCAGTGTTACCAATAGGGCAATTGACAGAAGGGAATTTCGAAAGAACCAGAGAATTCTTTGCCAGAAAAAGCAAGCAAAAAAAAACTAATGAGGATGTAACGGCACAAAAATTCGCATTCTGGTTTGAAGCTTTCTAGTTTCCTGAGCAAATTTTAGACCACATAATGGATCCGTTTAGTGTGGAGTGACGAATACGTAGGAAGGCGTTATTTTTTAATTAATCAACAGCCTTCTTTTAAGTTTAACGAAACATAACTCTAAAACGGTACAAGAATCCACACTGCGATTTTAATCATTCGATTCCTTGAAGCTTTCTGGTTCCATCAACAAATTTTCAGAATGGATACTCCATCCTTTCAGTATAGAGTGATGAATGTATATGAAGATGTCGTTTTTGAATTGGAAAACAATCTTTTTTCAGATTTAAAATGGGGAGCGCTGCATCCAAGAACAGAATTTTGTTTAAAAAACTGAGCTTTCCATCACAACGTAACATCAACTGTTCGCAAACTCAGCGTCGGTAGGATTGTCTTCATTTAAATGATGGTTTAAGTGCACTTTGTGTGGATAGTATTTTTTTAAACAATTCACCAACAATGTGTAGTCGGTATTTGAGTTTAAAACAAGTTCTCTGACAAACCTTTTCAGATTTTCTTCGGTTTTCAGTAAAATATTTCAGTGCCTTGTATTTCAAGAGGAGGTCGGCCTTGTCTTGGTAAGTTTCGTACAATACCATGTTCCGAAAAGTCTTTTGTAACATTTACATTATACATAAGATTACCAATATAACTCACGGAATATGACTTCATGGCATATTTGAAAGTTCATGGTCCTATAAAATTTGGTCATAATAACACTGGCCTCTTTCTAAAACGAAGATACCAGATTAATCACTCTTCGTCGAATCGTCACGCAATTGTGCTAATGACTACACTATCAATAGTAATTCGATTCTTACATGCTTCCCTCTATTGGAAAAAAATACTCCACATTTTCCACTCTTATTTCGTAACCCACGTCGCTGCAAAAATTTGCTTTTGTCCCTGCCGATTAAATATATCAATAAATCTAAATTGAGAAATTAGTAAGGTATATGAATAACGCTCTTAATGGACACTTTTATTTAGTACGCTAAACATAATTAAGAAAATTACGGTGAATAACATAGAGGAGAATTTTAAATGTCTTCATAATTACAATTTTTCTTGAGACGGTCACAAAAATTTCCGCACCTTATCAGAATCAAATAAATACACTAATAGACAAAAAGTTGTTTTGTTTTCATAATTAACAGCACACTTGAATAAGAATGTTACGTCAAATTGCAGTTGTGGTTTTTATAGCTTTTGTATTTATTAGTAAGTACTCAAGTTTGTTTGTTTATTTATTCTTGAATTTTTCTAGGAGGTCACACAGCCCAGCGAACTTTTTATGGGGTTGATGCTGATAAATTAATTAATCCAATTATACCGCCTGGACCGCAGTGGCCATCTAGTGCTGCAGGATATAAACGACCTAATAATATTAATAATGCGCCAACTATAGGAGATCAAAGTTTTGTGGCACGAAGAACAACCACTAGGGTACCGTTTTCAGGAAATTTTAATACCGATAACAAACAATCAAATGGAAAAAAAAGACCTGATTTCAGTTCTAAACCTTGGGAATATTCAAGTGAGGAAGGAGAGTATGGCAGTATAGAAGAACTGCCGTTTGATCAGTAAATGAAAAGTTAGTAGATAAATAAATAAAACGGCTGTATACACTGAAATCGATAATTAATTGTAATAAAATAATTTAAGTTTTTTTTTATTTTGTTCTACTATACAAATTTGTACATTATCCTTAAAAGTGCAATTAATCTTATTTATAAAATCGTTGGTTTTCTTAACTATCTATCTACTAATCTAACCTGACCATGTTTTAACATTGAAAGCATTAAAGATGAACTGTAACAGTTATTAAATTGAAAATTGTTCCTTAAAAAAATTTTAAAACTCACTAGTTTAAGTCGATAAACATTTAATGACTCTTTCCTCATTAGATCTGACGTTTTATCCTAAATGAGTAAGCTAAACTATCTTAATGTTCCATTAGCAAGATAATTAATTCCACTTCAAAATCCTGTTAATAACACCAGTCCGTTGTCTTCCTTACATTTTAAACTCAACTTTCTAGACAACCAGTACCACTGAAACAAACATAACTCTAATGGTACAACCAATAATGTCCATTTTACTTGTTCTGGTAATTTCTCTACTTTACGGTAAGTCAACATAGCGAAACCAGTTGCAGTCTTAACATTTTCTTTTCAGCACACAAAACTCTAGTCTGTGCAGGTAAATCACCCCTCATATCAGATCCTGATGAATTAATTAAGGTAATTATTCCTCGTGGGGATCCATGGCCAAGCAACGCAGATGGCTACATTGCTTTCAATCGAGCTACGCTGAGACCTATTTTGGTACCAGTTGTCCAAGATTTCAAGCAGGTTACGCGGACACCTATTTCAGTACCGATTGTTGTCACAGATAGACTCAACGACGAAGATGTATCATCTTCTGAAGAGGTATCGCCTCCGGTATCAGTAGTTACCCAACAATCAACTTCCACTAGGAAAAATGACTTTCACCAAGAACCATGGGCAGGTATCTCCTCGACAGAGGCAGATTGGCTTGGTAGTGTGCAGGAATTACCAAATCCATAATAATAATCGAATTAATAGTATGTAATAGTTAGAAATTTATTTGTATTAAAACTTACTTACGTAAAGCAAAAGGCAGCTTTTCTCTAAGGTTAGTTCGTATACTCGTACAATGAGACAATATGGAATTGGTCACAAGATCACCTAACATCATTAAAGGTAATTAATAAGCAAAATTTTTCCCTGTAGTTAAAAAAATAAAAGTATACTATTCGAGTCTACTACTGGCAAAATTTTTTTTACTAAATTAAACAGTACTCATAGGTATTATACCGTGCAATCGAAAACATAATGAAATTAAGATAATAAGTACTCTATGATGAAAAAAATTTCTTTGTAATACTTTATCGTTATTCCAAGACTACAGCTTCATACTTTCATTTATCAGTTAAGAATGCGTGCGGTCGAAAATAAAGCAAATTAAACTTGACCGTGAGATTATTTACATAGGTGGTACTACTGCATAACTGACACGTCACATCATTCTGTCAACTGCGAATATAGAAAATTGGTCCAAGGTTACTTCGACAGAACTTCCCTCGTTTTTGAAGTACAATCCAACAAATTCCGCTTCTTTGAAAACATAACAAAAATTTGTTTTCTAATAACTTTTATATATTGAAAACCAGTGGTGTAAATGAGAACTGGAACCACCTGCGCCGCGGGGGCGCAAATTCCAAGGAAGCCCCGTCCACAGACATACGGTCGCTATGAAATATGTACATTCAAAAGCAAATAACCAACGGAAAATTGTGTATTACTATCAGTGTACATGCTTAACTTCGATTATTATTTATATTTATACATCGAAAAAATGTCACGTAGAAATTTGTTTAATTTGAATAAGTTGTTTCCTCAAAACAGAAGACTAAAGTCATTAATTAAGCCACAATGGAATAAACTGTTTTGAATTTCATTATTATTATTTTTATTTGATCATAATAAAGTCGTGGGTATTCTCACATTTTCTGGAAAATGAGGTTCTTAATTTCATCAATAAAAAATTGGTCTAAAGAGTTTAGACAGTACTTCCCTCGCTGTCGGAAACTTGACGACTGCATGCCTATTGTGTTTTTTTTTTCTCATTACATTTTTGTAGTGGGAATTTAAAAAAAAATTGCGATGACGTCATCAACATTTTTGCAAGGACACGTATATCAGTTGGG